GAATGGGACAGAGGCTACATTGTTGATGGCTGAAAACTCATGATAGGTCTGACTGAACACAGGCTAGAGACAATTGGAAAGCCAACTCCATGGCCATGAAGAAATTGTATTTCTCTGTCACCATTAGATCTGCAAATACTTTATCAGTGAAGCTTCACCACAAGAACAAAATCCAGATCACTGAACAGCTTGCTGCAATGAATTAGCAATATTCTTTGTAATTTATATTGTTTGTATCTACTCTGATTTGAATGATGTAGTTGATACAGGTCCAATGGATATAATCTTTGTTCCTGTTTATTCTGAATTATTGAATACAGTTCAGTTTGTATCTGAGAATATAGAAAAGATCCCAGGAGAGTCATCTATTTATTGTAACCTTGCACTTCCTGGCTCATTAAAGCACCCAGAGGAAAAGTGGTTGAATTGGGTAAGAGTTTTGCAACAAAATGAATGCCTTGCTAAATCCAGATAAGACAGAAGTGTCCAACGTCAGCTGGAAGACAATCAAGGAATAGGAATTAGATCTGTTCTGGACAGAGTTAAATATACATACCCTGAAATCTTAGGTTTGTAGCTTGGATGTACTCTTAAATTTGCCCTTGAACCTGGAGGACCAAGTTTGGTGATAGCCAAGAGTGCATTTCCACCCTTTGTTGAAATAGTTCAACAAGTGTGCTAGGTTTTAATATTTAAGAGCATTTAATGTGTTTTAACTATTTTAAATTAATGTTTTAAAGGGAATTATCACGTAACAATGTTTATACTTTCTTCCTGAATGTCAGGAGGGAGGGGGGTGCTCTAATTTCACTAGGCAGGGAGTTCCATAGCTTGGAGGCCACCACTGAGAAGGCCATGTCTCTCATCCCCACCAGTCGTGCTTACGAGGAAGGTGGGATCGAGAGCAGGGCCTCCCCAGAAGGTCTTAATCTAGAAGGTAGATGATAGAAGGAGATACATTTGGACAGGTAAGCTGGGCCAGAACCATTTAGGGCTTTATAGGCAAAACCCAGCACTTTGAATTGTGCTTTGGTAGCAGACTCACAGCCAGTGGAGCTGGAGTAACAAGGACAATTTATATCATGATCTTATTCATGATACTTTTCAATAAATGTATAGTTGCAGCTTGAAATATTGAAGCTAATCCACTAAAATTAGAGAGAGGTCAGAATGCTCATGCTTTTGGCACATTGCCTTGGGAAAGCAAGACTAACAATAAAGTGATATATCTATGACACTGGAATATATCCAGAGATGATAACAAGCTATTGATTGATTTACTAAAATAATTATGAACAATCTGATGGATTCTATAGTGTGATGCACAAGGTTGTAATCTTTTTGTGTTATCCCATTCTTTTTCCTCTGTCTGCCTCATTCTTTATGTGGCATGTAGCCTTCAGAGGTCTTATGTCTTCCCATGACTCATGACAGACTACATGAGCAAAAGTGATTTAGGTTACAAATTAATGTGCATCTAGAGCCAAACAGTTAGCAAGTATAATAATCTAGGAAATACACTGGCACTTTCTGGCAAATCACACCTTAGTGAAATATTCCATAGTGTACTCATTATGTGGACTCTTCAATTGCATTAGGCATTCTCCAGCCAAATTAAAGTACTTTTTAATCCCATTATCATCAATATCCGAAGAATTTCTATGCCAATGCCTTTTGAACTCAGTAGAAATGTATTGCTAACAAATATATTTAGAGTTCACAAGTGTAATATCCCAAAAAACAAGATAGTTCTTATTTTTGCAAAGTTAGTGGTGGCTGACTGTGCAATCCTAAACATGTTTATTGAGAAACAAGTCCCATGATTTCAGTAAAGCACAGCTGAAAAACATAAACATAGAAGCATATAATCTTAACATTTCCACGTGATCCGGTTTTATTAAATGTAATAAAAATTCTTTCAAGTAGGTATCATTAGGACAGAACTCCATGTCCCATTCAAAACATTAGGGTTAATGGAAAATAGCCAAGGTCCAATTGCTAACAATGAGGCCATTTTCAAACAAGCCTGGGGCATTTGTTCTGCCAACATATAATGAAGACCAAACAGAAGATTATTAAATCACCATGTGCAATGTAATATAGCCAGATCTAAGATACCACGTTTAAATTAATTTTGCGATGAAGTGATAGATTCAAATATATTTTAAATATGGTAATATATATATAATAAATTTAGCCTTTTAACTTGCCAGTGAATAAACTGGGCACTATCCAGTAATTATAAGGAAACATGAAAGGAATGAGAAATACAATGAAATTATAAATCTATATGCACCTACCTTCTTTTATTTTCTTAAACAAAATTTGGCTTAATTGAGACCTTTTTCCATTACAACACATAGCCAATTACAAAAATACAGGATGGGTCTAAATTCACAAAGAAGTTTGAATGTTTAATAAATCTTTTTTTTTTGTTTTTAATTTGCAATACAATAGGAAATATGTTGACATTAAGTGTGAAAAATCAAATTTTTTAAATGGTGTCCAGTACCACAGCATCATATATAGGACTCCTTCGTGACTTTTGGTTCTACTTGTATAAACATAAAATGTGTATCTGTTCTCAAAATGTATTTGATGAGGGTACTTACATAAGTAAGTGTTGATTATGTCTCAGCAATTGATTCACATGACCCATTTCTATAGATTCAGAAAATTACATTCTAAAATCTTAGCAGGATTATATGACACAAAATCTAGTCCATTGTTTATACTTCCTTGAGTGTATTATGAAGCAAAACATATAGTTTTAATAAGTCGATTGTATATTGACTCTTCAACTACTGTATCAAGAAGTAGATGTTTAAATATATAGTCACAATTTTATTTCCAAATGCGTGCTATATGTCTGCAAAATATTTATTTTGGCGTTATGATAATTGCACCTAGTTTGATAAAACAAGAAGAAAATATTCATGTGCAAGAAATTTCACTTAATACTGCTTTTGCATTAAAATGGTTGAAAAGAAAGAGGAAGGTTGAAAACCTATGACATGTTGATCTAAGGGTAAATTATAGGGCTGGGCGGTTTCGTTTCGTTAATTCGTAATTCGTTAATAATTCGTTAATTTTTTTAATTACAAAATGATAACGAACCATTCTGGAGCAATTTTTTAAAAAAACGAATTTTTAAACACGTTTTGTAAATGCTTCGTATTTCGTTATTGTATTCGTTTCGTTATTGTTCTGAGGTCGTTTCGTTATTATTTCCATGTCTGGGGCAAGTTTTTTGTTTAATTAGTGAAAAAAAATTATAATATCACACCAACAGTCAACAACAGAGGGAGAGGGAAGCTTCAGAAGTTTTTGGAGGTTTTTTAGCGTATTTCGCGGTCGCGTCCGCCATTAACGAATCGATTCGTTATTGTTTCGGAAATCGATTCGTTAATGTTTTGTAATTTTTTCACATTTACGAAATTTCGTAAATATCGAACTTTTTAAAAGGAAAATTTTGTAATTATTTTAAATAACGAAACGCAAACCCCCAAAAAAACGAATCGATTTTAGAAACAAATTTTTCCGTTGTTACCCAGGCCTAGTAAATTACCATTGACATTTTCTTCCTAGTTTATCCTTGGTGTAGTTTCAGATAACTGCAGATGTTGTCTTTATCTGTGAAATAAAATTGATTCTCGTTTTCTTTGATGTTTCATGAGTTTGAAATTTTCCTGAAATGATACTGTATGACTGACTGTCTGTCTAAAGAAAATACATGACATAGAAGATGACATACATTTCTACCACCTCATCAGGCAGGCTGCTTTCCCCATCATATGTCACTTGCTCTCCCCTTTCAGGATGGAGCCTGCACGTGTACTTCCCACCGGACTCCATTGTGAAAGGGGAGGGCAAGTGGCATATGCCACCAACATGGCAACACAAGAGGCTTCCTGTGTAGCCTTCAGGACAATGAGGAGAAGCCAGGCAGAAATGCTTCCCCCCATGGGATAGGGGTCAAGATAAGTCAAGTGAGGCAGGGCATGGAGCAACAGGTTCTCCACACCCACAGCTGGACCCCATGGATTTGTCACAATGCATAGCAAATCCATGGGCAGTGATTAGGTCCTTAGATAGCTGTCCCTTGACATTTTGTAGTTCTAGAAACACTTAACTACAAATTAGGCAGCATTTGAATCAATTGCTTTTCCTTCTCAGTAGGCCTGCTTAGGATGTAAATTAATCCTCCCTCCCTTCTCTCCCTTCCTTTTGTTCTTTTTGTTCTGTATTTTCAATTCTATATGTTAAAGAATAAGTTCATCCAGTTGCTCTCCACCTTCCTTTTTGGCAGGTTCTTGTTTTTTCCCCAGATAAATATCTTTAAAAACATGGAAGGAGACAAAAATGAACTAGGTTGCAGTGCTTATTGACATTGCCCTAGAGTAATTACCAATAACTACACATCGTAATTTAAACAGGAAAGTGACGTAAAGCTGTTAAATTTAAAACTCTATCTGCCACTGCCCTAGGTGTACAATTAGAATATGAGCCAGTGACAACTGGTGACTTCCATGTCAAGTGAGTTGATGAATCCTGTACATGCTGCGTATTCTGCAATACTGCAAGGTACTCGGTTGACATTGCAAGGCTCTTGGACCTCAAAAGTGTGCTAGAAATATTTGAAGAATATTCACCATTTGTGTTAATTTCACACTTCAAGTAGTAGCATATTGGGGTCAAGGAAGGGAGTCAGTGGCAAAGGGGAACGCTGCAATCAGAAAAATTACATAGGTCGAGGGAAAATCAGTTCCACGAGGCCCAGGAGAAAGGAGTCAGAGATGCAAAGGAAAGGACAGGGGCAAAATATGCTGAGGAAGAAAAAACAGAGGAAAAAAGTAATTTTTCCTTCCATTGATATGCTACTGTAGGAAACTATTTTTAGATATTTTTAATGCTCAGTATATGTGGAAAGATACCAGATTTCCAGTATTTTGAGACCTCATTTGATTTATTAATCTTTATTTTTGTTTGTTTATTTTTAGTTTGACAGAGATTTGCAACATTGCTCTAACTTGATGGGTTACCACTGCGAGTATGAAAGGTAATATACTCCTCATTACTTTTGATGGTATCTGGATTGTTCAACATTATTCTACTTTGTTTACTAGACTTTAGCCCTCTTCCAATGTCTGCTTAAATTAAACTTATTGACATATCTTTGTGTAAATGGAATGGTACAGGGTCTTGGTGACTGGTTTTTAGTATTGTCTGTGTGCATGGTGGATCGGTTAAGCAATTTGGTCACTTGGAACCTCTTGACACTGCTGTGCTAAAGATATGGTTATGAAAGTGACATGATGTTCAGCATAATTTCTCGTTATATATTAGGATGAAATGATTAAGAAAATCTAATGGTCTCAACCAGGGCCACCCATTTATATCCAGTGTCATATGGGTATGTGGTGTATGTGTGTACAGTCGGTTCTTGGTACCCTCTGTGGTACCAGGGCCCCCTATATATACCAAAATATATGGAAGTGAAAGTTCTATTATACACAGTGGTATAGCAACATGGTGTCCCTTATAAAAATGATAAAATTATGGCTTGATACTTGGATTTTTTTTAGTGGGGAGGGAGGAAAATGTTTTTAAGCCATGAATAGTTGAATCTATGAATGCAAAATAAAAGGGTCAATTCTCTCTCTCTCTCTCTGTGGGTGGGTGGGTGGAGAGGACTGAGAAGGAGAAAAGGGGTGATATATTTCTTTCCAGTATATTCTGGCAAATTCCCATTCCTATTTTTAGTTTAAAAGTGTAGAATACTGCCTGACTATTTAGCAAAGCATACTGATGGCAACTTACCTAACAACATTCAAACTACTTGGAACATTTTACTGTGCTATCCAGGAAACAGCAGCAGTCCCTGTGCCAGTGAGATAAGATTGAAGAAATCACTGGCTTTCATTATTTGCCTCTTGGTATATTTGCTAATGTTTGACAGTTTTCCCCCTTTCAAATGTGCCTTGTTGTAAAGCCCTGCTGTTACATTCTTGAACTTTGCCATGACTACAACCCTAGGGTATCTGAACTGTCAGGCAGGAGGAGTGGAAGACAGAAAGAGCTTGCAAAAAGTCCAGAAGGCACAAAGATTCATAATGCACTGATGAATTTCCTACCGGCAGATAGCTTTCACTATGCCTTTATTGCTGTCACATTTTCTTAAATAATCGGGAGACTATCTGCTAATGGACAATGGAGACTGTCAGCTTGATGAGAACTTGTCCAGGCAATCTGCGATTTGGCATTATGTTTGGAAATGGAGGTGGAGTCAGCTAGGCTGAGGACAGATAAGCAGCCCTGAAGTGGTCTTCTTCAGAAGTACTATCACTAATTTATATGGGGATTGCATTTGCATTCTGTTGTGGCCACATTTTTTGAGTAGTAAAGTATTAATTGTTTTTCACTGGGAACAGGTCACAGTTGGGGGTCAGCCTAGCCATACTCTTGGATGGTGCATATCTGATTTAGAATAACTGTTTCTGGTTGAAATGTTAGCATCTTGATTCCCAGTCTAATTAAGAGATTTTTCTCTCACCCTTTTCCTGGAAAAGATGGGAACTTTTTAATATAGTGTAGATAAGCATTAAGACCACTTTTTATACTATGCAGCATTTATGTGATGTCTAGCAAAACAGAATGTGTGGTTGGGGAATATGAATGTGTCAGGACATTTTCTTTTGCAAGGCAAATAATAATAATAATAATTAGATTCAGTCTCCTTTATGTGCACTTTTTGTGGTGGCATTTAAAAACAGATTATACCCTTTGCCAAATGATAATAAGATTTCTCTTTGCATTTCCCAAAATATGATTAATGGTCTGTCTGCCTCCCACAGTTGTAGCTGACACTGGCTGGTAGGATGTAAAAATTTAAATTCCATAGCAGCTTTTAAAATAGTAAAATGAAAACTAGGTGAAAACCAATTGCAATGGTTTCCTGCTGAATGATAAACACATTCTAGATTTTTTTAAAATTAATAATACATACTGTAGACACATGACCTGGAAAAGTAAACATTTTCTTACAGTATTGGAATAGGCAGGAGTTTATCAGGAGAGAACACCTCTACTGTTATAAAAAGAAATGGGCAAAAGGTACAAGAACTAGACAGTTAGAAGAACAAAACTTAAATAAATAGCTGGGGGATGACCCATGGTCTTTCTTATCCCTGCATTAATGCACAAAGCATAGGAAATAAGCAAGATGAACTTGAACTCTTACTACAACAAAGGAAATAGTATATATTTGTGTGAATCGTCAAAAACCCATCCTGTTTTCAGTCCTGATGTTGGCTGGCCCCCCAATCTATTTACTGGGAAATTCTTAAAATTGGGATGGGGAAAATACCACTTTGTAATCTGTCAACCAAAAGCTCAATTTTCACTCTGGGAAGATCCGGCACATTGACGACAAAGGTGGAACTGGCGAGTTTCCCTTTTCCTTCATTTGTATAGCCATGGGGACAAAAATGGCCACACTTGGAGGGCACTTCATGACTGCAAGCTCCTTACATTTCAGAATGTTTGTGTCATCCACTGATTTTAAGGAAGATTCTACAAATAAAATGCCTTTTAAAAAGTGGCAGCACACCACAAAAAAATATGTTCTTTGAATTTTTTGGGGGGTCTACTACAGATCTCCAAGCCAAACTTCCTAGAACAGATGACCACATATTTTAAAAAAGGAAAGAAGTAGTAATAATGGGAGATTTGAACTATCCTGATATTTTTGGAAGACAAACTCTGCCAAGAATATCAGGTCCAATACATTCCTCAATAGCCTCACAGACAATTTCATTGTTTAGAAGATGGAAGAGGCAACAAGGGAATAATCTGATCCTAATTAAGAGCAATGATGTGGCAAATGAGACGGAAGTAACATGTTCCTGAGGGAGGAATGACCATGTTCCTCTACAGTTTGTTATACAGCAGAAAGTGGAAGTCAAGCATAGTCAGTCGTGCATTCTAGACTTTAAGAAAGATGACTTCAGTAAACTTTGGGAAAAAACAAGTATGACCCTATGGTCAAGACCACTAAGACACAAAGGAGTTCATGATGATGGGGGTTCCTGAAAAGTGAGATATTGAAAGCACAATTTCAAACAGTTCCAATGATGGGGAAAAATAGGGAGTGTCTAAAAAAACAAGAATAAGTGTCTAAGGAATTTTCAACTGAACTAAGATTTAAAAGGGATATGTACTGTACAAGAAATGGAAAAAGTTCATGTTTGTTAGAGAGACTAAAATAATTTAAAGTGGGGGGAGGGTGATGATGGTTATGTCCATAAGAAAAGGAAGAGTAAGTAAATGATTGGGCCACTGTGTGCAGGAATGGCAAAACATGGAACAGAGAAACTACTCAGAGAAACCTTTTTGTCTCAGTCTTCTCCCAGAAATTAACAGTGATCAACATGGGGAAAATGGAGCAGATGATGCAGTAAGGGGAAATACAGCACAGAATATGTAAAGAGGCAGTATATGAATATCTGACTAATCTAAATGAATTCAAGTCTGAAGGGCCAGATGAATTAAATCCAAGGGTATTAAAAGATCTGACAGAAATAATTTAGGAACCATGGGCAATTCCTGGAGAAGAGAAGTTCCAGAAGACTGGAAAAAGGGAGGTGTCATCCCCATCATCTAAAAGGGGAAAAGGATGACCCAAATGATTCCCACTCTGGAGGTTTTTAAGCAGAAGCTGGATGGCCATCTGTCTGGAGTGATCTAGTTCTGTTTTCCTGGATCATAGGGAGTTAGATTGGAGGGTCCTTGTGGTCTTTCTCAGCTATACGATTCTCTTAATCTTCCAGCCCATGGTCTGAAACAGAGGTGGACATATTACACCCCTCCAATGTTGTTGGACCAGAATGGCCAGCAATCCACATGGGTGGGATACTGGCAAGGGCTCATGAACACTTTGCTGGCCCCTGGTCTAAATCCTATTGCTAGTTCCTCCTAGAATAGATCCATTAACTAAATCACCAAAACCTAAGACAATATTTATGTAACTCTCATTGACTTAAGGAATAGACTTCAGTTGGACCTAGCAACCAAATTGATGCACATGTATTTCAGGCAGTAAGCAGAAAATACATGTGGTCTCTACCATTGTGTCCCAACGCCGAGATTTCTGTTGAGTAAGGGATGAGTTTAATGAAGCAAGCAAGATGATCTAATGTATCATATGTCTGGACTTGGTATAGAATGTGGTGGGAGATAAAAGAAAGCATTTCTTCTCACAGTAAAACTATGAGCTATGCTACAAGAAAATATGATGATAGAATCTAGGTTAAAGTAGAAGAGAGGAAATCATAGATGATCTGAGCCATTCATAGAAAATTGCCAGTAAGAAGCATCCTCAATGTCTAAAGCAAAATGCCATTTTCCCCAGCATGTGAATAATACAAAATGGGGTGAAAGATTAGATCAGAATTTGCAGCATTTAAAATAAAAGATGCTTCGTCAGTAAATTAGACAGCAACCTTAAAACCTTGTGAAGCTATCTAATGAACAATGACACCATGTTCAGAAAGTAGATTTCACAGTGTTTAATTGGAAATGGTAACACGTGTGGAGAGAGACAGAGAGAAAGACACATAGAGATGTTTCTTTAAATAGAACTTCGTGAAAATGCAAGAGTATGAAATTAACTGGAGGTTTCAGTGGTTTCTTTATACCTTTAGATTTGTTGGATTGCAAGATTTTTTTAAAAAATCGTATCCATATAATTAAACCAAACTAATAGCAAACATGATCAAACACTATTCCAAATCTCTGTTGTAACTCTGATCTAACTCTGTATAATGGACATGGACACTCCATACTGATTTTAACAGCTGTTCTATTTACTTCATGAAAGCAGAGGATACGTGAATATGCTTTCATCTGGGCATTCCTATCTGTCCCTCAATCGAAATAAATGGTACGACTCACTTGTGATGGAAGCTCTGCATTCCAGCATAAAGAACAATTTTAAATAGGCTGTAAATTTCTGGTTCTAGAATATCAACCTAAATGGTATGTGGGTGTAACCCATATGCA